TTCCTTTGAAAGCTACATTAATTCCTCCCTCAATTGTCAGAAACCACGATCAAACATCTAATCGTCTTTTCTTATCTTTAGAAAACAGATGTGTTACTATTGTAAAAAATCTGACCATTTTGTAGCAAATTGGTCATTCTGTACAAATCCAAATCAGAACTTTACAACAACAGTGCCAACTACTACTATAAATACAGTAGTTAATACTCTTCCACACATGACGTCCTGATCACATCAGCATCTTCAGCGAAGTCCTTTTCCTTACAATCCTCGACTATACCTACTTAATTAACTATACCAATATTAACTCCATCTCAAATATCACCCTTAACATTATTCCCAAGTTCTCAAACTACATACACAGATAAAAATATAACAACTACCCAGTTATCAACAATACCTAATATTTCACAACCTCATATATCAATCCCAAACTATTCCTCAACACTTGCATACCCTATCAATAACATATCAATAAATACTGTAATTTAAAAACTAAAATTGCGTAGCCAAGAAAAAGTAGTCATAACCCAAAGTGCTTTAACAAAGGTGAACGAATTATTAGCGTAACAGCTGTTTTGAAAACTAAATATTATGAGACGAATTGGATATTGTATTACATAAACTAAACCGATTGATTATGGTTTGTTGATTAAGGAAAATATGATATGACAGGAAAGACTAATGACTCTCTAGCTAATTGCCACATAAATATCAATGTAACGCAAATCGTATGATTTTGTATATAAGACAAATAATATTATATTCTAGATTATACCTACAGAGATACAAACAGTAAAACAAACATAATACACAACTATTATAAAATATAGTAAATATTTATTTCTTCTTCTAGTTCCATGACCGTTATCGATCGTTGGATATCATGTTGGCTACCATATTCGCTACCGTGACTTTATTGACAGCAGCTCTAAATAACGATGTAGTTGATTTTCCATACCATTGCCTTAGATTTTTCAGCCATGATGTTCTTCTTCTACCAGGACCACGATTACCTTGGATCTTTCCCTGAATGATCAGATGTAAAAGATCATATTTTTCAGGGTGTCTCATAATATGACCGAAGTATTCCAGCTTGCGTTTCTTTATTATATTGACCAGTTGTGTTGTTTGGTTCAGCCGTCTAAGGACCTCCTCATTTCTAACTCTGTCGACCCAGCTTATTTTCAGTAGTCGTCTGTATACCCACATCTCAAAGGCTGTCAAGCGTTTAAGCATAGCTTCAGTTAGGGTCAACGCTTCTACTCCATACAGCAGGAGTAATATTTATTTAGATAAACGTAAAGGTTAAAACATGTTTTTTAATTCGCGGTAAAACATTTTTTAGAGTTTAGCACATAAGATAAATTCGTAACAAAATTCATATACCAGTAAATGGTACTCGTTACAGCAGCGAAGTAATTTTAGCAACAGATATGTAGGCTGACCTTACCCCTTGACATACAGCAACCACAAAAGAATCGGCGATAGCGCAAAGGGCAGCTACCCCTTAACCAAGACACGACTCTCTTGTTTGGCAGATAGCACTTGTCTCTTCGACGACTAGGCAGCCTTCACCCCTACTGGATAGAACGACTGTCTTTGATGACTAAGCAGTCTTCATCCTTACTGGATGGAATGATTGTCTTTGATAACTGAGCAGCCTCCACTCTTATTGGATGGAATGACTCTCTGTTAATGGGCTAATTATACGGGGAGAATGGACATGAAACATGGACGACGAAATAACAAAATAAGAGCCGATTGAGCATCGCAGAAAGAAGAATTATTAGAGAAATATATAAACCTGTTATCGATAATATTACAAATCAATACAGAGTGCGAAACAACCGCGAACTAATTGATTATTATGACCAACTAGATAAAGTAAAAACATAAATAACATCTTATACGTAATACCTTGTAAAAATAATATTGTACATTTTTAAGAACGAACTCCTATTTGAACATTGAAGCGTCAAATAAAATATGTAGTACATAATAAATATTGTGGCATATTTCTTTCATTCTATCCAAAAAATTAAAAAAAAATAAAGTCAGACATATTGAGATGGATTACTGAATACTATTATAGCATACAAGTAGTGTGAGCTACCGGATATTTAAATACATTAAAACTTGGTGTGAACATTTTGGTTAAAAGAATAAATTTGATTTTTATATTACACATGTAGTTGACGTTTCTATCTCCAAATTCTTTTTTAGAGTTCTTTTCTAGACACGTACTAAACAAATTTTGTTTATATTGCAGTTTCTTCTTTTTGTAGATTTAATAGTGATATGAGGATATCAGTTTGCTACATATACATAAAATACAAATAGACTGACTGTTGCAATACAGGTCCGTTTCCCCAGTGCGACAGAGAAAACTGGCGAAAAGCAGTCCCTGCATCTCTTTCTAATTTGCCAGGTTTATCGAACGCGTGACCTAAATGACCAATGAGAAGGTCACGTGGTCGATAAACCCGTCCCATTAGAAAAAGATACAGATATTGCTTTTCGTCAGTTTTCTCTGTCGCATTGCGGAAACGTGAATGTATGGCAGTATTCAGTCTATTTGTACTATATGTCTATGGTTTGCTACATGCATTTTCGCTTTTATCTTTTATGTGACCAAGTTATCAGCGATATCTAAATAGCTCCAATCCTTCAAAAGTATATGGTTTTATTGTTACATTAATGCTCTATTCTATATCATACCTTTTGTCTGTTAATGAACTTTTATTTGGTTTTCTTGTTATTGACTATAACACCGTTTTTTTATGCTAAAAGCATTATTCAATATATTATAATGTGTAATTTCTCTGGCTGCTGACGAACAGAAGTTTTTAATAACTTTTCTTTAATATAATTATGTATGCAGATTTGTATTTTGATCTTCTCACGGTGCTAAAGAGCAAATGTAATAGTTTATTGTATTTTTCCATAAGATTTCTAGTTTTTCACTGTGTCATGGCTCCTCTTATTTCTTTTCCTACGATTTACATTAATTCATTTAATTATTATTTCTGAAATTTCAAGTTTATACACAGTTTCTTTTGTTCCACTTATTTATCTAAGATATGTTATTCATTCTTATCTATCTATCTATCTATATAAGGATTTTTCCAGCTGTCGCCGCCTTCCTTCTTTCAGCCAACGTCTCCAGTCCTCTCTGTTCTGCCATTCTCCATCTCTAAGGTCTCGTTTTTCCATGGCCTCGTCCACTTCATCCCCCCATGATCTTCGGGGTCTACCTCTTTTTCTCCTTACTATTGAGCTCCAATCCGAAATCCTTGCTATCCACCTTGTATGTTCTGTTCATTCTTATCTATAGATGTGCTTATTCCCTATCAATTATCTATCAATATTTGAAGTCTTTTTTTATTTGTTTTAGTCATTGTAATGATTCGCATCCGTACATAAAAATAGGTCTAAAGCTTGTATTATGCTCTAAACTCCTTCAGTGGTAGTATTACCAACTGCGATTATTGTTCTAAGATATTTAATGTCTTCCATACTTTCGAAATTGAAATTGTTGACTTTAACGTTGTATCTAGATTTACTGACGGTCTCTTATGTTTATGCGCTGGTATTTGGTTTTCACTTCGTTGATTTTACTTGAAACTATTTTCGTGCTCTCTGGACTTTGTTCAGTATGTCGTTTACATATTTATAGATGTAATCATCAGCATAACTAGGAGCTGCTTTGTACCTTGAGAGAATTTCTCTCTCAAGGTTTTTGTTTCCCCTATCAATATTACAACAATTTTGCTGGATGCCGACATAGGAAACCCGTTGGTATGTACATACTGTTTCGATATCTTTTTGTCTCGTTATAAAGTGAATATTAGTTTATTAGGAAATATGATATTGTCTAATAATAGTTAAGTTGTTTTGCTTTGCTTTCTCAGACTGCTACCATCGTGCCTTCTGGTATTTGATATTTCAACCGTCAAGCAACAATTCCTATATGCATTAACTTAATGCTGATATCCTGCTTCCCCAATCCAGTTAGCAGTCCCGAAACCAATAAAATTGCTACATTCAAGTTTTCTATTAAGCTGCCCAGAACTATAGGTACGCCTTATTATCTTACTGATGTTAGTGCTGCCCCTTATAAGTGAATAAAATATGAAAGGAAGGTTTTGGTAATTTAATAAGATCCTTGTGTTACAATATAATGTCTCCGAGAAAGTAAAGTAATATCAAAACGGTATTCGGATTTAATCCATAGCTAAAATATTAGAATGCTATAAAATATTGCTATATATTAGCATTAATAAGTTTATAATGGATACTAAAGTTTGAAAATAATTAGAGTAAGTAATTTAAATTATCAAAGTGCTTATTAAACATAAAAAAAAATAAAATTATATTAACAATTTATATTATAATATATTTAAAAACAGTAGCCAAATATTCTTGGAATTCCTCGATGACTAACCTGGTGGATATTTAAATAAATTTTAAGTTCTAAAATGTACCTGCTCTAAAATTTGAAAATCTACGACTAATACAACTACTGACAACATCGCAGGAGCTTAGTTGTGTACGCTAAAAGCTGTATACGGATCCCAAAAATGTTTTATCCAGTTACGGAGTCCACTTGATCTGACGTGTTGGTCGGAGTTTACATAAAGCGCTACTCAGATAATAATATACACGGCGTATATTCTCCTGGAGTTAGTATAATACCGTTTTAGTACGGAACCCACATTAACCGCTAGAAGTATATATATATATATATATTATATATATATATATATATATATATATATATATATATATATATATATATATATATATATATAGATATATAATATTGTTATAAATGAAAAAAATCTCTAGTGTTCGCAACTAATGAAGTTATTAATATAAATGATAACGGCAAAATATTTTTAAATTGAAACATTGAAAACCTTACAAAAATTGAAAACGATAAATAATATATCACAGCTAACTTCTATCTTCCTCGTCATCAAATAAATAAAACTTACCCAATACAACACACGCCGCATAAAAAACAGCTCTCGGTTCACTGAAAACATCAGCATGTATGTGCATCATCAAATCTCCTCCAGCAGCGTACTCCATTACGAAGCAAACGTGAGCATCAGTTTGAAAACAAGCGAACAAATTAACCAAGAAAGGATGTCTGATACAATTTGCCACCTCAAATATCCTTTTTTCTGACAGTAAAGATTCAACTTCATCCCTGGATATGATGTCGCCTTTCTTTAAAGCTTTGATTGCGAAATATTCCCCAGTGTTTTTGTATTGCGACAGAATTACTTTACCGAAGTGACCTCGACCTAAGACGCTAATTAGTCTAAAAATAAAAGTCATCTGTTAAAGTTTGTATCTATACAAGCTTGACGTTTCTTACCTGAAGTTTTCAATGTTCAAGCCTCCAGATTGAGAATGTCTCTTTGATTCATATGCGCTGTCTCGGTAGCTCAGCTCTCGTGCTGCAGGTCGGCGAATAATATTGGCCACGTCATACGCAGGCTAAAATAATAGATATAATTATAACAAATATTCATCTACATATATATTTATTATCTATAATACATGCCTTATTAACAAATGAAATTAAGAAATAATTTGGATAATTATACAAAAAATGTTCAGGAAGAAAACTATACTACGACAGTTGATGAGTGAAAGAATTAGCAGAACTAGTAAAGTTTCTAACTTTACCCTTTCAGTGATGGACAAACCATAGCGAGCTACCACTTTTTAGTAAAAAAAAATAAACGAATTGAGACAATTTGTACACTCCATACCAATCTCTCAATTAAAACAGGATTTGTATATGAGATCTCAATTCTTAACACAATATATTTTCACTGGATAAGAAAAAAAATTAATAAATTCTTGTAAAACCATTGGGTAAGTCGAAAATTTAAAAATAAATTCTAAAGTTAGATTCAATACAAAAGTTTTATTTAAAAATCCTTTCTCTCTTCAATCCTGACCCCCGGAGGGAGTTTAGTGGTCATATCGTTGCCCTCCTCCAAGGATCTCTGTCTCTGGTCATTTCTTTTAACTCATGCATGGGTCTTTTACTATGCTTGTAATTTGATCGACCCATCTTGTTGAGAGATCGTCTCCGTGATCTTCGCCTTCTATCTTTCTTTGGATAATAAATATTTCCATATTTCCTGTGTCTGTTCTCATAACATGTCCAAAGTATTTTAATTGTTGGAGATGTACTCTGCTGGATAGCCGTTTGCTGACTTTTGGCTCATTTAAAATTGAAATATTTGCCCTGTGGTCGGTCCACATAATTCGTAACATTCTTCTCCAACAGAACATTTCAGTGGCGTCTATCTTTCTTCTTTCAGCTTGTCGTAGGGTCCAAGATTCACATCCGTATGTCAGTATTGGGAATATTAAGCAGTTGATCAACCTCATTTTTAGAGTTCGTGAAATTTGAGATTCCTTCCATATTTTGGCCATCTTTAGTACGGCGACTTTTGCTAATTCACATCTACGTTTTATTTATTCCTGTAGTGAACTTGTGATCAATGATCCCACATATAAATATGAGCTCACAGCCTCAAGCCGGTCAATCGTAGTTATGTGTAGATGATTGTTATGTAGTCTATCCACTATCATGATCTATGTCTTTGATATGTTTAAATGCAGACCAAATATTTAACTTTCGTTTTCAACCAGTTGTATAAGATCAATTAATTCTTCTTGATTATTTGCAAGAAAGGCTGTGTTGTTTGCAAAACGTAGATTGTTTATTTTCGACCATTTATTGAGATGTCCTTTTCCCATCCTTCAAGCGCTCTGTATACGTCCTCGTCTGACACCTTGCTCTGGATGGAATTCGTTTGAGAGTGTGTCAAGCAGTTTAACTGTTTCAGTAGTGTGTTCGTATAGTTCAGTTATAAGCGAAATTAAGTGATGTGGTACGCCTACTTCTTTTAGTATTTGCCATAAGTGATTTGAGCCATTTGACCATGTCGAACGCTTTGCGATAATCTATAACACAAATGTATAGTGGGAAATCGTTTATTTCCGAATTAGAAATTGAAACGTCAATAAACTTACTTTAACCTTTAATTGTGGCTTATTTCCATTTATATAGTAATTATTTTGATGGCATGTGAGATAAGAGAGACGGTTCTATAGTTGTTGCATTTATGGAGGCTGCTTTTTATGTATTATCGTAATTGTAGATTTTATCCAGTCGTCAGGCCATTGCTTTTAATGCCATATTTTGTTAAAGAGCAAGTGAAGCAATTTTATTCCGGTTTCTTCTGTAGCTTTGAGCATTTCTGCTGTTATCATAACTGGACCTGATGCTTTGTTGTACTTGAGGTTACTGATTGCCAGTCTTATTTGATTCTCGAGTATGTTAGGTTCTTTTTTTCTTTGGAGTTTCTTTGGGATTTCTTCAGGAGTTTGGTGAACAAGTTCCTGGCGTTGATTATCTTTATATAGATCCCGACAATATAATCTCAATGACCAAAAATCCTTTATAAAAGGTATATAATTAAAACGACACCGAACTACATCACATACAGTTTTCGGATTAACAAATCCATCATCAGTACATTTACCAGGTGTACATGAGTCAAGCCATTAAATATGTGGGTAAAAACCCTTAAAATGGTACAAAATGGCAACGTAAGACTCCCAATTTTGGGGTTGCTGAACCTAAGCCGATATCTCTGTATAGGCTCTAGATGGCAACTGATTTAAAACGTGTCTGTAATTTTTTTTATCTCATTTATTATCAGATTCAACAATATACTCAATGGGTCTTCTTATTTGAATCAATTTTAGTTGACATATATTTGAATCAACTCGTGAGAATAACGTTTAGGAATATATTTCAATTCAGTTAAATTATTTTGTTAAGTAATTTAGTTGATCTATAAGCTGTACAAGAATTTATTAATATTATTTATATTATGTAATGATTTGTGTAAAACTGTTTCTCCACAAAAGTTTTCTGTAGATTAAATCTAGTGCACTATATTCCTCGGAAATACAACGCTTTGTTAGCGTTAGATTGCGAGTGATTAGATAGCGCCACAGTCATGTGTTGAGGGACTAGCTAGTAGTCTGAAATTGTTACTTCCTGGCATTTCGTCTCAAAGAACTGCGGCAGAGACCTACGTATCATTGTTATATCTGCCACAGTTGCAAATGAATAATCAGGAAACAACAAGTCGTGTATTTGTAAACACCACTATGGTGGAAGGTTACATAACATTATGCTATATTGGTTTTTTGAATCTGTAAATATGTACATGTTAGTATTCTATAATTTACTAACAGAGACTTGCAAAGCGGGACACATAATACCCCATATATATCTAAGTTACAGAAAACGTTTATAGAAGATACATTTTGCACACGATCAAGGTTATGTAATAGTTTGTTAGTTACAATCATAGACATATAATACAAATAGACTGATAGATGCAATACATGTCTGTTCCCCCAGTGCGACAGAGAAAACTGACGCAAACTAGTTCCTGCATATCTTTATAATTTGCTAGGATTATCAACCACGTGACCTAAATGACCAATGAGAAGGTCACATGGTCGATAAACCCTTTCTCTGTCGCACTGGAAGAACGCGACTGATGGCAGTAGTCAGTATATATGTATTATATGTCTATGGTGACAATAGATTAGCTGGGGTTAAACAAAGAAAAAAATTACAAATCATTGTAGATTGCTCTGGATAACAAAATTTTATTAAAATATTAACTTATCTGAAAAGCCGAATTCATCTAAAGCTTTATTAAGAGAAAGTGTATTATTTTTAAAGTTTTGCACGATTTAAAATCTCCAAAATGCAAGACATATCAGTCGTATCTGGGATATGTTAAAACAGATTAATCTTACTACATTCACATGTAGAATTAAATCTATTTTTCTTGATCACTTCTAGTTTTATTAATTAAAGAACAAAAATATCTAAACAATATAAAAATCTTATTTACAGATTAGAATTGGTTTCGATTGCTAATTAATATTTTTTAATATTTACGATTAATTTTATGACCTTGATTTAAAACAAAAATAATCGTCACACAATCAATTTAGAAGGAATCTCCAATTTGACTTACCTGATCTGGAGATAATTAAAAGAAACCACTTAAGTCATTAACTTCAAAAATATTGAAATTACATTTTAAGTTATATAAAATATATTAAAAATCATAATTCTCGACGGGCCACAGCGTGCCTCATCGTATAGGTAATGGATTTTGGGAACAGCTATGACCTTGAAAATGCCACAAAGAATATAACTAAATATCTCTTTTCTTACTCAGACTCTTTAAAGTCTTTTACAATATTTTAGAATCGAAGATATGTAATTATATTATTAATGTATTGGATTTTGACAAGAGCTATGCATTATGCCTATTTAGTACACAAGTTTATGTGAAATGTTCAAGGTCATAGCTGTTCCCAAAATCCATTACCTATACGTAGCCTTCTCGGGTGCAAACGTGACGGAGTGTGAATGTGCGTGATGGAGCCTGACTCACGACAAATCGCGATTGGACATTCCCCGGTCTATTGCAGCAGTTGCGGTGGTTTACGTTCCGGTGCGATGGTTCACATTCATATTTGAAGTATGCACTTTCGACAGGTTGCATGTCGTGCAGTCAGAATGAAATCGAAAGAGGAAATTGAAAAAAGACTCAAAGAAAATCTTTCTGAAGATAAATTTGTCAAACATGAAAAGACAAAAAATGCTGTCTGGGTTGATTTTGAATCAATGTAGTTTGAAGAAAGGTTTTACAGGGTGTATTAATTGTACAAAGATACTTCGATATGTTTCCAAAAACGGTGCAGCAAGTTCCTTAAGACATAAATGTTCTTTGCAATCTCTTCCCCGTAAAATCAGAGTCCTTGGAAAAATTTGAAATTAAATCGCTGGCAGCTTCAAAGAAAGGAAGTGATTATTAAACAACAATAAAATTTTATTGCAAAAGATCTTCGTCAACTGAATATAACTTTTAGCTATGAGCTAATTTTTATTTATATTTTTTATTACCTACTTTCAACTTTGTGACATTTTAGGTGGTAGAAGGTTTCACAAAATTTGCCCAGAGTTAATCAATGTGGGTGCATATTTCGGTGATGTGAAAAACACATTCGCTTCACGTCGGCGAACTGACTAATCCTTTGTTTACACAAACTCAACATCCACATCATCTTCAACAACCATCTTTGACGAATTTAAGGAGATATCAGAAGAAGAATATATCCATAGAATCGATATTGAAATGGAATTATACATATGACGAAAGATTCAACTAAACAAATCAGCTAGCCAAATTTTAAATATGTCTGCTAGCTCTGCCTCTTCAGAGAGGTTATTTTCTTGTACGAGCCGTATTATAATCTAGACAAATTTTTATTTTTGGATACCAATTACGATTTGAGTTTGTAGTTTGTAACTTCACATTTTTGTAGGTTACTGATCCAAGCTATATTTTCGATTATTTCGAGAAAAAAACAATAGCCAAATTGGAGTATAAGCTTTCATGTGACACAAGTATTTTTACATTAATTGGCGATTATGTTTATTTTACCTATAAAAATAATATAATTGATTTTTTATCATAGACAAATTAATGGTGTTACAATATTGGAAATGGGTACACAACTATAAAATAAGTTCACTTACTACTATACTACTACTTTCAAGTTTTGTAAAACTCGTGTAGAAAATAAGAATGTAAGAGTATCAACCTTAACAAGTACTCGTAAGTATTTTCAGCTTTTTTAGAACCCTAATTATACGTATAGTTGATATAAGTGATTCCTTAAAAAAAAAATAGGAATAAAATTGAATAATAGATAAAATGCGTTAGTCAGTTTTATTGGAAAGCATTAAAAAACTGCATGCATTACTGAAAGCTTTGCTACCTTGACAATAGTTTCATTTTAGCTAAATGTAATCCTTTCTTATGAAAATAAATTAAGTTATAGTTTGTATTAATATCTTAATTAGAGAATTGCATTAAGGATTTGACATATTCTTTTGTTTTTTTACCACTTTAGCTAAATAAGTTCTATGGTATAATAAATTACTGTATTAAGTTGTACCACTGCAATATTATGTAGAATAATTTTTCTTTTTCCTCTTTATAAGCAATCCCTTCGCTTGCAATTTTAATGGGTGGATCGAGTAGCTCGGCAGAAGTGTTGCCGGTCACAATCCCGAATGAAGGAGGAGGGAGGTCTAAAGCCAGGTCAGAATAATGAGAATAATTTTTACTGTAGATATATCGTTGTTTTCAATTTCTATTTCTTTGACCAAGTACTTGGGCAAGATTAAATTAATACTGTGCTCGATATTTGCCTTTTATATTATCAAAGTTTATATGTATAAGTGTTTTTTGGTTGCTGGCAAATAAAGAATCATTTAAAATTCAGTTTTGCATGGTATTTTCATAAATGTAGGTCAGAGGTGCCTCTTTCAATAAATTTGTCAACGCACTTAGTGTTGTTGACTCTTAGCAACGAGGTCTCGTTTATTGTGTGTGCCTCAACACTGTCCTTCCTTTGATGTCTTACAAATTGTTGCACGGCTTTAAACTTACGACCAATTTTAAACCATATTTCTGATTGTGGTTTGTCCCTAATACCACCATGAGCATGATTTTGATTTCTTTGATTATCAAACTCACATCCTAAGCTCTCCTTCAAGCCATCCTACAAGGAAAAATATTTGGAAAACGAGGTCCAGAAAGAAGAACATCTTGGTTAAAGAATCTCAGAATCTGGTTCAATACAACATCTATGCAGCTTTTCCGCGCTGCAGCAGATAAGATAAAGATTGCGATGATCATTGCCAACATTCGTAACGGATAGGCACATTAAGAAGAAGATGAAGAATCATCTGCTGCATTGAAAAGTACAGCGAAAATATTGAATTTACGCTATCTGTGTGTAACAAGATCCAAATTATGTGCAAAGGCAATATTTAGATCGATTCATTACATATTGTGCCTCCGTTGTTGAGTTCTGAAATGATTTATTGACAGAGTGCACTTAACTTGGATTTTTATTACCGATATTACTTTTGACATTCTCATCGAAGTGTTTAATTGGTGGATTAGAACCTTATTACATAGATATCATCAAGTTGAATATGCATTTTTTTTATAATAGTAGACGTGTATAAAATTCTATCAAATTGTTCATTTACTTGTCTAGTGTGTTTCTTATATAATCCATAATTAATAGATATAAAAAGTGATTGAGGTTATAAACATGTTTAACTACTTTATTTTTTGGAATTGTTAAAACTTTTATCACGTTATCAAGTCATAAAGGGTTTCATGTTTTCCAGATTGTAGATCCGTTTACAGCATTTAAAGACCAAGATTTTAGATGTACAAATATTGAATATAGTCGTTATCCTTTATTTATTTATTTATTTTCATAAAGAGACCTTTAATTACTATTTAACTGGGAATAAGCCACAATTAAAGATAAAAAACATTTATTGACGTTTCAATTTCAAAATTGAAACGTCAATAACATATTTTTATCTTTAATTGTGGCTTATTCCCAGTTAAATAGTAATTAATTTAAAATGCCACAAGAAAATAGCTTCAGAACAATATTAAGAGACCTTTAATTAAAACTATAAGATATATACTAATATTTTTATTTCCTTACTAAATGCCGTAAGTTTTTATCCACTTTCTTTCCTTCATCTTGTTTTTGTGTTTTTATCAGTCCTTATCCTATTATTTTCATTATACCATTCCCTGCATATTCTTTTAATGTTTTAGAATACGCCAAAGTTTTTTTTTTATATTTGTATTGAATTTTCAAACTTTCAGAGATGCTCGTTTATTTATACACTAATATAAGTAAATTTTTAGGTCTTATCCTTATGAACATATGCATTATGGCAACTAAAAAGCTGTCAAAATTGTTTTAAAATTGATATAAAAATGTAAATAATAAAATTTTATATTGTTAATTTTTCTTTTTACATAAAAACCGTTACATTTAGCTAAAATGATACTCGTATCACAAACCACCCTACAACTGAAGTACCTCATCATCTGGAAACTCTATAACAGGTTGAGGACTAGGTGGTACGAACTGTTCCGGAGAAATAACAGGCGTAGTTGGTATCGAAGGGATAATAAGAGGCCCAGGCCGAGAAATCTCCTGTTCCTCCAAGAAGTCGAATTCTTTTAGTGCTGCTACACTCTGTAAGGGAAACAAGTAGACCCTACAATTTGTGTCGTGCTACCTCTAACCCAGTTAAAGGAAGATATAGAGACATATTGTACATGTTTGAAATAAATATGAAAATCATGCTAAAGTTTAAATAAAATAATTTGTATAGTGTTGCTGTATAAGCCAAACATATTTATACAAACAATTCAACTACAAAAAGTATTAATAATAATTGGTTTTATAGTATGGTTGCTTAGGTAGTGAGATTTGCATTTTAATGTAATTTAACTTATAAACTACATGCGAAAATAAAACAAAAATTTATTAATAACTCTTTAAAATTAAACTACAACGATTAAAATTTCAATTTGATACATGACATTGAGTGTAGGACGGCTATTGTTTTGTACGTGTATGGTTTTGCACGAAAATAAAGTCGTTGTTTATATAGTATTGAATACTCTGCAGTCTTTATTATTCATAACAATTTTGAAAAAGAATAAAAATTTGCTTTAGTGGACGTTATGAAAATAAGGCAATTGTCAAAAATTATTTGATTGATATAATTGTAATTACATAATATGGAGAAAGAAACAACTAGATATTGATATGAAAACTAATAAAGACTCAATACAACACTAAGCCCCATTACAACCTACACAAGAATAGGCCTATAAGTCTGATGCAAGTAGAACATATGTAACGAATCATGGAAATAACAGTTAATGGAAAGCAGTCAAAATTAGATCTCGTTCTTCTTCGCGTGCTATATCAGAATTATTCGACGTTGGCGATCAGCATTGCGAAGGCTTCTCGCTCTTCTGCGACATGGAATAATTTTCCTGCATTTGATATCCGAGTCCGTTCACGAATGTTATGCAACCAAGAAACCCGTTTCCTTCCTACATCTCTACGGCCTTCTATTTTGCCTTTAAGGATCAGTTGTAACATTTTATATCGACTTCCCCTTACTATACAGGGTGAGTAGCGCTCAACGGGACGGAGCCTACCGGGGAAACGGCTAAAGATATTAAAAATTTCTTTTGCAGGAATACGTAGGTTAGTACCGGCTACAAATTAAAATTTGTGAGATATATACAGGGTGTCCCAATTTGGCATAATGATATAAACTTATACTTTTTTAAATGGAACAACATATATTTCACTTTAATTTTTAATTCTACTGAACAAAATAATGTTACTTTATTCAACATTCCCTATACCTATTTTTGACCGGTTTCGATTTATTTGGGTTTTTCTGAAAATGTACTATTCGCGAAATTAATTAATTACACAATATCGCATGAATTTTAATTAACGCCTTTTTGTCAGTTAATTGTCAAGTGTCCATGCTTTACATCAGAATAATTACCATTTGAAACTAATCTACAGAGTGTTCGCAATCTGAAGTGTCAATGCTGTACCATATTTTGTATAATTACTTTCTTAACTTAAATGGGACACCCTGTATTTTACTTTAATTTTTAATTCTAATTAAAAAAATAATATTACTTTATTAAACAATCCCTATACCCATCTTTGAGAATTTTCGATTTATTTGCGTTTTTTTGAAAATGCACTATGTATTCTTCAAATTAATTAATTTTTATCACTTTATTACATAAAGTTCTACTCTAACTTAAACAAAAACCCTGTATCTGAATGTTGTAACAATTATTATAATCAATCTATTATAAAATTTTATATTAATATCTAGTATCTTCAAATCTATTTGCATTATGTTACCTGGAACATTAAATGTCATCGTTATTATAAAGAATGCCATGAAAAAACAAAAGGTACCTAGCTGTCAAACTAATTGTCAAACTATTAACTGTATTGCTTTCAATTAAATAAAATGGCAGATTATTCAGTTGAAGACCGAGTAAATATGATTTTAATACTGGGTGAATGTGATCAAAACAGTTTGTTAGCATCAAGAGTCTATGCTGAGAGATTTCCCTTAAAACGTCATCCTCGTAAAGAAGTATTTGACAGAGTCTTAACAAGGTTTCGTGAAACTGGCAGTGTTGTTTATACTAAACGAAAATTAATAAATCCGATAACTGAAGATGAAAATACCGAATTAGAAGTTATTCAATCAGTTATTGAAAATCCAAATACAAGTACAAGGACGATGACCAGGGAGATTGAAGTAAGCCAAATGAGTATATGCAGAATTCTTAAAAAATATCAATATCACCCATACCATATTCAAATGCATCAGCATTTGTATGGAACTGATTTTGAACGTAGGTTAGAATTTTGTTTATGGTTTCTAGACAAAACGGGAGCAGATCAACATTTTTTTGATATAATTTTGTTCGCTGATGAATCTACTTTCCATAATAATGGACTCGTGAACCGACATAACTTTCACTATTATAATACGGAAAATCAACATGAATATAGATGTACTGATCGACAAAACCGATGGTCCCTTAATGTATATGGTGGAATAATAGGAGAACATGTAATAGGACCGTATTTTTTTAATGGCCATTTAAATGGACAAAAGTTTTTAAGATTTCTACGAAGAGACTTTTGGATACTTTTGCAAAATAACCCTTTAAATATTAGAAGAACAATGTTTCTGCAGCTAGACGGTGCTCCAGCACATTACACGCGTAACGTTAGAGAATATTTAGACAGAAAATTTCCCGGAAAGTGGATAGGTAGGGGTGGTGCTGTCAATTGGCCCCCTAGATCACCTGGGTTAACATCAATGGACTTTTTTTGGGATATATTAAAAGTTTGGTTTATCAAACTCCACCTACAACCGCTGAAGACATGAACACGCGTATTCGTAATGCGTTTGCAACAGTTACTCCAGAAATGCTAAGAAGAGTAAAACAAAATTTTGAACACAGAGTGAGGTTATGTATTGAAGAAAATGGACACCATTTTGAACATTTAATGTAAATTAATTTTTTTCTAGTGTGTTTTGTTTAACTTTATGTAATAAAGTGTAATTAATTAATTTCAAGAATAGTGCATTTTCAAAAAAAACCCAAATTAATCGAGAATTATAAAGGATAGGTATAGGGATTGTTTAATAAAGTAATATTATTTTTTTGATTAGAATTCAAAATTAAAGTAAAATACAGGGTGTCCCATTTAAGTTAAGGAAGTAATTACACAAACTATTATACAGCATTGACACTTCGTATTGCGAACACTCTGTAGATTAATTTCAAATGGTAATTATTCTGATGTAAAGCATGGACACTTGAAAATTAATTGACAAAAAGGCGTTAATTATAATTGATGCGATATTGTGTAATTAATTAATTTCGCGAATAGTACATTTTCAGAAAAACCCAAATAAATCGAAACCGGTCAAAAATAGTCAAAGGGTCAAAAAGGGTCAAAAATAGGTATAGGGAATGTTGAATAAAGTAACATTATTTTGTTCAGTAGAATTCAAAATTAAAGTGAAATATAGGTTATTCCATTTAAAAAAGTATAAGTTTATATCATTACGCCAAATTGGGACACCCTGTATATATCTCACAAATTTTAATTTGTAGCCCGTACTGACCTACGTATTCCGACAAAAGGAATTTTTAATATCTTTAGCCATTTCCCCGGTAGGCTCCGTCCCGTTGAGCGTGACTCACCCTGTATATCCAGATAAGACATTTTTCGATGTTTGTTGACGCTTCTTAGTACTTCTTCATTTTAGTTTTCCTTGCTGTCCAAGGTATCTTCAGCATTCGTGTATGCTTTTCATTTCATTTCATTTATACATTTCCAATGCTTCAATTTTGTTCATCATCGATACCTTTAACGTCTACACTTCTGCACTATACAAAACGGACTAAGTGTTGTCTTTGGTACGGACCAAAGATAACACTTAACCATTCTTTGTCTTAGTTCTAAACCGAGATTATTATTGCAAAGAAATGACTTCATTTTCATAAAAGTAGTTTTATTCATTGCTATTCTACGTTTTATTTCTACGAAATTTATCTAGTTGGTCCGTTATCACAGTTCCCAAAAAAATAGATACCGTTAATAAATATGTATGCATTACACAAGAAGCATTGGGGGACTAAAAAAGGGGGTATGACTGTTTGGAAGATATCGATGCACTGGATTGTATGAAACAAAATGTGCAATGCAGTCAATTAAATTATAGAGATATAAGAAGTTTACGCGTTATGTTTGGCTTGTTTCATTACACAAAATGCAAGCATGGACGTGAAAAAGCATATCGAGTAACAAACTCAGAAGAAGACCGCATACTTATTACGCATTACTGTATTACGAAGAAAACGATACATTTTCGAGTAAATAATAATAGAAAGTAAGATAAATCGTAAAAATATAAGATAGTAAATAATAGTAGAAGGTAAGATAAATCGTAAAGATAAAACCAGACCAATAATAATAAAACGTGAGATATGGGAAGGAGATACATTGTCACTGAGATTATTCATAACGGCCTAGGGTATGCCTTTAAGATGGTTAATTGGGACCACAGAGAAGTAAGAAGTAACAATAGATGGCGAAAAACTTAATTAGCTCCGTTTCGCAGGTGACATTGTCGTTATCACAGATAATTTAGGAGTAGCCCCAGATAGGTTAAATGAATTGAACTTTGCAAGTTTGAAGGTGGGCCTCAGAATGAACCAAAACTTAGTTTATGACAAATATGGTCCACAATAACCATTTAACTATTCAAGACAAAGTGGTAGAACCGGTGGAGAAATATACGTATTTGGGACATGAAATAAGAATCAGCAGGGATAATTAAACAATTATCAATACGAAATTACCCCAGGTGAGTAGAGTTATACACTCAGAATCTCACACTGAGCAATCAGTCAGCCTCATGGATTCTGGGGGAGGCAAATATTCGACTGAATCTAATAAGAAAAACTACCCACCATTGCTTCGTATAGCCACTTACAATATAAGAACTATGAGGACCCAAGAACACCTTGACGAACTAGAACAAGAGCTCTCAAATATCAAATGGGATATAATTGGACTGTGCGAAACTCGCTTACCAGGAGAAGCATGTA